AATTTTGTAATGACAAAGATTTATTTTATGTAATTCACAAGTTTTTTTTTTTGGTTAATTTGTTCCTATTATATATATTTTTTTTCATATTTGTTTGTTTGTATATTGCAAATTTATCAATTGGTGATTTGCAAGTGGTTATGTAATATTTGGTTTTGAAATTGTTTTGTAATTATATTTTGGTTATTTGCTAATTAATTAATAATTTAATTATATCAGGTACATTGAATAAACTCTGCGATGGAGGTAGCTTGATTTATCTCACAAGATGAACGTCATGCACTCAGGTATGCCAAATCAAGAATGTGCAATTCAAAAGGATTCATATTTTCATTTTTTTTTATTCTTTTTGAATCTTGAATTGTCTGCTCTTTCTATTTCTACATCTCTATCTACGGAGCAATTCCATTCAAGTCGTAGTCGTCCCTCTCAATCTTTCTCTCCTGATTGAGTCAGGCGGTTCTTTCTATGACTTCACTTCGCTACTAAAGATTACCGGAGGAGAGACGCTATTCCAATAGATGCAAGACAAAGAATACTTCGATCCTTTAATCTTAGCCAACAACTAAAGTTATCCCCAAGTATGTCTTATCGGTTCCACCATAACCGTAAACAAAAAATAAATGGTTGGTTGTGACATTGATGTATGTTTAATTAGTTAATTAAATGTGTATTTCATGTATTTGGATGAGAATTCACTTTGTAGTTTTAAAGTGACATTGATGTATGTTTAATTAGTTAATTAAAGTAACTAAAATATTATTGAAATTTAGTTTAAGATATTTCTTTTAAATTGTGATTGTGATGTGGAACTCGTGATTTGTGTAATTTGATGTTCGATTCTCGTTCATTGAATCTTTAAGATTTATGACGTTTAAAAATATCGATTACAAATATTAAATAAATCCTTTTCACCTAAACAAATAGATTTTGTTCGTCTTTAGAAGAAAAATAGAATCACTATTTAATTTTTAAATGAAATTGACTTTCCAAACTACAATACACATTTTAAGAATTTTATAAAATGAGTGTTTTTAAATTTAAATTAATATATGTTTTGGTTTATTCTATTTATTAATAGTAATTAAGTTAGTTATGGATTTATATTAAAACAATCGATATGGTAGTATTTGATTTTCACCTAATATTTGATTTTTTTTTCGTGACAATGTTTAGATTAGTAATATTTCTAAATATAAATTAAATATTACATTAAATTTAACTTTTCGAGATTTTTTGATAATTCATAATTGTTATGATATGAGATTTTTAGTTGATAAGTATAAAGTAATTTTTTGCAGTTGATGGTTGGTTTGATAGGGGATTATTTAATGGTAATTATATTATAATAAATATTATTCATTACTAAGGAAACTTTAAGAATTTTATTAGGACATTCCAAATATCAAATTTTTTATTTTTGAATTCATAAAATCGTCATGAAAAATTTGGATATGGATTGAAAGAAACCATATAAACTGGGTTTTTTCAATAGAAATCTAAATATATGAAAGAGTAAAAAGAAAAATGATATTCTTTCCAATTGAATTGCGTGAGAACATTTGATACCGGATTTGTAGTTAGGTAATTTTAGCCAAACTGTTTTATATCTAAACAAATGCAATCCAATTTACATGTATGATTTTTTTTCAATTTTACCATATTTCGGGTTTATTGTATTAATTAGTGGTTGATTTGATATGAGGGTTTAAGGTGATAAGTAAAAAATTATATTTTTGGGATTGATGTTTGTTTGGTATGAGATTATTTGGCATTAAAATATGAAAATTATAACTTCTGAAATCAACAAATAAACATTAAAATTCGGATATAAATTGGGGTTTCTCAAGAAATATCTTAATATTTGAAATAGTCCAAAAAATGATATTTTTTAAAAATGAATTATGTGATATTTTTTATGTTCAAAAAGTTAAAAAAATCGGATATTAATTTATTTATGTACTGTTTGTTATGTTTTTGTGCTTATTTTTATGTATTTTTATGTGTGTTCGAGTCGATTTTTAGGTTCGTTTTAGTGTCGTCCGGTCCATTTTGTCGTTTTCTGTGTGTTTTCGTGTCTTTCATTTTATTTTATATTTTGGCGTACTTGTCCGTGTTATTGTTGCATTTTCAGGTGTTTTCCGAGGATGATGAGGAAGTCGAGCGAAAGAACCGTGAATCCCGAGAAGTGTCGAGCCATTCGCACGAACCATTTCAAACCGAGAGTTTCGAACCTTAGTCGATGCGGTCACAAGTTAGGCACGCCGCACGCCCGTGCGCCCGCGCGCCACACGCCCGCACACCGCATACGCACGCACGCACCTGCGCACGCCCGCGCCTGCTAGGCACACTCGCGAGCCAGCGGAAATGGCCGCGACCTCGAGAGCTTGTCGCCTGCCGTCGCCTAGCACATCCGCGAGCACGCCTCAGTATCCGCGAGGTCGAGAGCCACCTGCCCCAGCACACCACGCCCCGCGCGCTCGCGGAATCCAGCGCGACGTCGAGAGCTCCACATCTTGCCGCACGCCCACGCCCGCAATGATGCCCCGCACGCCCGCGCGCTCGCGAATCTGCTTGCGAGCTCGAGAGTGCCGCTTCGTGCACATCACCACCGCGAGCTCGCGGATTTTACGACGTGGTCGAGAGTGTCTCATTAAGTGTGCGTGTTTTAGTGTGCGTGTTGAGTAGGAGTATAAATATATTTTGTCCTTTGCATTTTGGGGATGATTCGCTCATTTTTCATTTTTCCCACTCTGGGAAACTAGCTTATGTTTATTTTTGCTCTCTAGATTAGGAGCTTATGCTATTTTCCGGGAGATTTTCCGGCGACTTCGGTTTCGTTCAAGTTTCGAGCTTTTGACTCCGTTTTTCATCGTCTACGCAATGGGAGATTGAGTACTTAGCTTTAAAGCTCTTTACTTCGGTTTTTGCTCCGGTTTTACTTATAATGTTCATAAGAGTAAATTGGATTTGATTGATGATGGTGAAAATTCTTGAACTTGATTGCTTGCTTGAGTAGATAGAGCCGTTAATTGCTTGTTGATCTCGGTTAGACGACTAGGGTTAGCAATCTAATGCTCGTAGCTCGTTTATTCCGTTTTTCGATTGATTATCATCCCGATATGGTCATGGCATGAGACTCCGGTAATCTAGTTTGCTAAATGCTCGCGATTTCATCATGCTTCTAGTTAGTTGCTCGTTTTTAAGTGCTCGTTTAGTGTTAATCAACCATCCAATCAATTGTTTAGAATGTTTAGAATTTTATTTTCCCTTTGTGTGATTTGGACAATCATTTAGTAGACAAAGCTCCGAATAGCCTTCCTTCGAGATCGACCCGAGTCGGTTAGCTCGGTTATCCCTTGCCCATCAAATCTATACTAAACAAAATGGCGCCGTTGCCGGGGAAGGCAAGTAGGACGCCTAGTTTGCTATTTGATTGTCTCTTTTTTTTGTGTTTCTCTTGATTTTTGTGCTTTTTGCTTAATTTCCGTGTTTTTCTTGATTTCTCTTGCTTTTGTCGATAATTTGTGTTTGTTTCTTGAGATTTATCTCGTTTCCCATTGATACGTTGATGGGTATAGTTGTTGTTGGTGTTTATGCGAGGTAGACGAAGGCGTGCAGCCGTAGAGGAGACACCATCGATCGACCTTTTCGTTGAGCTCAATATTGAGGAGCCACAACCGCAACCCGAAACCGAAACAATGGCGGGACAAGGAGAGCAACTTCCACAACCTCCCCCGAACATGAGGTACTTCGCACGACCTATCATTGGAGAAAACACCTCGTGCCTCGTGATCGGGGAGGCGGCCCGAGACTATGATCTCAAGACCAACCACCTAAATCAACTCCCATCATTCTATGGTCTCGCACAAGAGGATGCTCTCAACTTCATCCGAGACTTCTATGCAACCGTCAACACATTCCCGCTCCAAGGCCTAACCGAGAACCAACTCCGAAGGAGGTGCTTTCCATATACCTTGAAAGACCGAGCCAAGACTTGGTTCATGACATTGCTTCCGAGCTCGCTCAACACGTGGGAAGCCGTCTACGAAAAGTTCATGAGCAAGTACTACTCTCATCAAAAGACCACCGACCTCCGGATTCAAATGGCGAGCTTTAGCCAAAACATCGGTGACTTTCCACGAGGCTTGGGAATGATTCAAGGGCTATCAACTCCAATGTCCACATCACCACTTTTGCCTCGGTGTGCTCAACCAATTCTTCTACGACGGTCTCCACCAAACTCTTCAATACATGGTCGATCATGCGGCCAGTGGAGACATAGGGAGCCACACGGAGGAGGAAATCTACAATTTATATGAGATGTTGAGCGAAAATTCGCAAAGGAAGAGCGTTCTAAAGAGGGCCCCCGTTAATGAGGCTACATAAACTATCGGGCCCTCGAACGATGCCGTTCTTGCCAAGCTAGCCTCGTTGGAGGAGGAACTCAAGCAACTTTGGCTAAGGGATGCAAAGTCGACTCAAGTGGTGATGGACGAAGTATGCGGGTGTTGTGGAGAGGCCGGCCACGGAGGACACGAGTGCCCGAATTATATGGTACCTGCCTACGATCCAAATCTTGAAGGAGTCCCCTACGACATCAATGCTATTCAAGGGTACGCCCCCCGAGTTCAAAACGATCCTTACTCGAACACCTACAATCTCGGGTGGCGAAACCACCCCAACTTTTCATGGAGGGACCCGAAAGTCACCTACCCACCCCAACCGGCACCACAACAAGCCTATTCCCAACCTCCACAATATGCTCAACCGAACAACCGACCACCGTTCCAACTGAGACCCGAATTCCAAAGCTATCAACTGAGACTCGAGTTTCAAGGATATCCACAAGGGCGTGGAGGCTTCATCCCGAGGCAACCTTCGCCACCTCCACCCGAGCCCGAGAGGAATGCTAACGGAGAATCCTCGGAGACTCGGATCGAAAGCTTAGAGAAGTGCTTTCAATCATTGGCCTCCACCGTCTCTACATTGCACGACACCATCAAGGGAGTGCCATCGATTCAAGACTCTCTTAAATGCCTCGAGACTCAAGTGGGGCAACTCGGGAGTTCCATCGGGGAAATCCAAAAGAGCAAGATGAAAGACAAACTCTCGAGCCAACCCGAGCACTTGAATGCTATTACGGTGTTGAGAAGTGGTAAGAAGGTCGATAATCGTGTTGAGGTACCCGTGGAAAATAAGGTTGTTGAAATTGTTGTTGATGAGGATGATGATGAGCCGGGGGAGAAGGTTGAGGTTTTGAAAGGGAAAGTCGTTGTTGACGAGAGAATTGAGAAAGAGAGTTCGAAGAAAGATGCCTGTGAGACTTTGCATAAAGCGGACGCGCCTTACCGACCACCGGTTCCCTTCCCGAGCCGTTTGAAAGATACAAAGAAGAAGCGTCAATTTCAAGATCTTTTCGACAAACGTCAATCTCCCTCTCTTGGAGGTTATTCGAAATGTCCCAGCATATGTGCAATTTTTCAAGGATTTGGCCTCCAAGAAGAAGAGATTCAGGGATAATGAGAAGATAATGATTTTCGAGGTAGCCTCGACTACTATACCTCGGAAAGAGTGTGACCCGGGAGCCTTTGTCATGAAGATCACCTTTGGGAATGGAAAAATGACGATCGGGATGCTTGACTTGGGAGCCGGTATAAACCTCATGCCCTACTCGATCTACAAGCAATTAGGTTTGCAAGGGCTTAAGCCGACTCGGATGAGCCTCCAATTGGCGGACCGCACCTTGTGGGAGCCAAAAGGTATAATTAAAGATGTGTTAGTCAAGGTTGGTTCGATTGTCGTTCCGGTAGATTTCGTAGCCCTTGACGTTGGAGATGTCCCGAACACCGGGAAGGAGCACACGATTTTGCTTGGGCGACCCTTTATGGCGACGGCCAACACCATTATCGACGTCAATGAGGGACGAGTCACGCTCTCGGCTCATGGAGAGATGGAGACTTTCACAATGAACAATGCCCGGGACGCTCCAACCAAAGTTGGCCAATGCTCGTTCGTGGAGGACTTCGGCAATGAGGTACATCCTAACCCTAATTCTAAATTTTCTAATGGAAATAGTTTTGTAGAAAAAAATGATGTTGAAAAGGGAGGCGGTTCGAAACCAAAAAAGAAGGGGTCGAAAACTAAGCCTAAGGGTAATGAGACAAAACCGGGAGGCAATCCACCGAGCTTGAAGGATGATGCGAGTACCGGGAGGTGAAAGTTCACAAAAAACCGGGATAAAATTCGAGAAAGAGGATGGTTGGAAGAAGAAGCCTCCGGTATCTCCGAGAAGTAAGTGGGCAAATGTGTTTGGTGACGAGTTCGAAAACGAGGATGGAGGGGCTCGTCGAGCCGTGCCTGGTTGATTTCGAGTCGAAGAGAAAGTCGAGCTCACGACTATAAACCGAGCGCTTCGGGGGAGGCAACCCACGTTTTTGCTTTCATTTTTCTCTTATTTTCATTAAAAAAAAATCGAGAGCTTGTGCCGACCTGCTCGGCAGTACCGACATGTTAGAGCCGAGCCCAAAAAAAAAATGAGTGAAATCGAGTATTTATAGTGTTGGTGAATCGAGTTGCAAAATTCGGGCGGAAAAGTGGAATATGACTAAGTATGGGATAGGGTAGGCCACAGCTAGCTCGCGTGCTCGCGTCTCGTTCCGCGCCCTCGCACTTCCTACTCGCGCGGTCGCCGCATATCCCGCGAGCTCGCAGGCATCCAAGGCCATGTCTCCAGCAGCAGTCTCTTCGCCTGGCGGAAACGGCCGCCACCTCGCGCACACAGCTCGCGCGCCCGCTTTGTTTTCCACGACCCCGCGACACTCCAACCCAAACAGCTTCAGCACGCCCCAGTCCGCGCAGCGGAAATCCCAGCGCGCCCGCACCTCACACTCTCGACCTCGCGGGCGTTTCCGCGAGCTCGTGCGCCCCAACA